TTCTTTTTTCATATACCCAAAATTCATTCCTTTTTATTTATTTAGCAGCTCTAAGATGAAGCGAGGCACTTTCAGAATGCTGATTTTTTTTTTCCTTGTTAAAAACCAGGGTCTAAAATTCTCAGATCTTATGTACGTAACAAAGCGCGGTATGGCAAGTGCTGTTTCAAACTTGACAAAACATTTGGAGCAAGTATCCGAGGCTCTGTCTGTAAGTGCTGTTTTGTTGATGATTTCAATTATTATTATTTTATTTTTTTGGGGGAGGGGGCGCTTGAATGTGGCTAATGAGAGAAGGCAAACTATATTTTGTGCTTCAATTAAGTTGGAAATGTACCAGTCCATCTCTGAAGAAATAAAAGTAGTATGCGATCAGCCAATTTCTACCGGTTACTAACATTATTTGCTGTTGATTTTATTTATTTTTTTATTCTTTTGTCAGACTGCCAAGACACATTTAACACAAAGAATACAACATTTGGATGATAAAATGGAGAGTCAAAAGGAGATCTCAAAGGCAATTCAAAATGATGTAAGAGAATATCTTTCTCTCTGCATGGGGTATTTGTGTCTTACATCAAGATTTAGACCCCAGATTCGCATTAAAACTGCTCCAAAATATTAAACTGTGAATGAAGGACCAGGTTTATTATTTTTGATTGCCCTCATCATCAAATTTGTGATTCTTAGTTTTGGGAAACAGAATGAAGCTTCATACAGAATCATTTAAATGCAATAATTCAAATCCTGATTCTGATTAGCTTTCTTATTAATTGATTCACCTATTGAAGGATTTGATTTCATTGAAGTTGTCTTTCAAGTAATATATAAACGTACATCTTAGGTGCTAAAAATCTAGTTGCATGTCATTTTTTTTTGTTGATGAATAAATAATCTAGTGTGATATATTAGCCACATAGTTATCACATAAAACTTATTGCATCAGTCTCACTTTCTTCTTATTTTTATGATATTCTAGGTGATATTAGGTAATTGTGGAACAGTATCTTGCATGCCAAAGATTTATCTGCAATATCATCCTAACATGTCTTGATTTTTGTAGACAGGTCAATGCTGCCTCTGAAAATCTAACACTAATTGGTTCTGAGCTGTGGCAGTTGCAGTGTTTGGTATCTGGTCTGGTAGGTTTTGCCTAATGATAATTCCTTACCTTTTGGCTTTGCTAGCTCTTGCTTTCTTTGTCAATATAGTTCTCAAAGTCACAAACTCATGTTTCTACATGCACCCCCATTAATCTTACTGAGGTACCAAAAAATTCAAGATGTGCTCTAAGAAACTTCCTTGTATGTTTTATTTTAATTTGAAATAGGAAAAGGAGAAAAAGTTAAATGATAGTGAAGGGATGAAATAGTCCAAATTTTTATTTTAATCCCGTTATATTTGTCATTGTTTCTCTGTCCCTTAACTGAATTCATTTAATTTGTTTGTTTCTTTTTGCAGGATGGTAAGATAGGTTCACTGGAGGAGAAACAGGTGAAACAACACATAAAACATATACATTTTTTAATTTAAATTGAAAATCATATCTTCATACCATACATCCATGTGCTGCTAGCACTTTTAGAACATACTGATGCTTGCTTAACATCTGTCCCATGAATAGTTTGCAATGCTCTATTTGGTTTATTTATCCATTTTTACTTGCAGGAAAATGAATATACAGTAGATACATAAGTCATAAACATTGGACTAGTTTTGTGTCAAAGATGTTAGAATGAATTTTTGGTTATGTTGAAGTTTACTTTAAGTCATAAACATTGGACTAGTTTTGTGTCAAAGATGTTAGACTGAATTTTTGGTTATGTTGAAGTTTACTTTAAGTCATACACATTGAACACTTTTGTGTGATATTCTTCCTGTTTACTCAAGGAATTGAAGAGTAGTTCAGAGACCCTATTTTGAGCATCTGGGATCCTTACCTGAAATTATGTAAAGTTTTTGTGGATGAACAAACCTTTTCTTGTTCCAAATTCCTGTTGAGAGTTTAAAGTAATATCTTTGATTTGTGGGTGCTCTGATAGGCAGATGAATACTTAAATTTTCTTTTGCAATACTGTTGTCATCTTGTGTTTGTTCCTTAATATTGAAGCTGAGAGTGTTCTCTTATTCTTTTTTAGATGACTTTAGTGGAATTCCTTTTATAGTTGCTTATGATAAACTGGTCACTTCCTAAGAATACTTCTGTGAGATTACTCACCAGTGTTTCATGCCTTGTAATTGCATAAGTGAGTGATCGTGTTGTTTGCTCTCCTGTTCGTATTATTGCTGATGTACTGATCCAATTTTATGGTGACAGGATATTGCAAATATGGGTGTGATGTACTTGTGCAACTTTGTTGGTGGCAAGAAAGCAAAAATGCCTAAAGCTCTGGAGGTTGGATATAGCATTTAATGCAGTTTTATTTTAATGCATCTGATTTTCATATAGAAATTGTTAACGGGCATTATAACTAAATGGTATTGCTTACTTGAATTATCACATTGTAAAATGAAGCTCTCTCCACCATCCTGAAGTGGAGATTTTGGACGAAGGAGGGCAGTACTAGTTTTCATTTACCTGTCTTGTTGAGCTTTTAGACCTCATAAGCTAGGGATTTTTTCTCTACACAAGAACAAAAAAACACACACCATCATCAAAGCAATGATGGATAATTTTCCTTGCTGAACTTTTCTTCTCGACTATCTCCCGACCCTGCTTCTTTTCTATACTACTCATTTTCTGACTGTCAGTGTCTTTTACTATTCTCCCACTATCAAAGTCCGGTTTTATATCTTAAGATTATTGACCTGAATATATGTTTCTACATCTTGCAGGATCAACTTAAACCTTCAGGGAGAACTCGTGCTTCACTCACATACTCTGAAGTCCCAAGTTTGACGGTATCTTTCTTCTATAATGAATTTAATTTTAATTTCTGTGATTTGGTTCTCTCTCGCTTGCACACATGTTTCCTAATACCCTGATACAGATTAGCTGAAGTTAGGCATGCAGCATTGCTGCAAATTTACAGTTTGATCCTTTAGCCACCATATGCAAACTTATCCCCAATGGGCTGGGCACTGTCATTTTAATACACAATCATGTCCCATTAAACCAGTCTTGAATCCCAGAAAAGATGAATGGGAGAGAATGCAAACAAATGTAAAATGTATGCTGCATGTCTAGTTTATGGATTGCTTTGACCCGGTCCATTTCTGCTTCCTGGTCTGTCAGTACTGCTTATTGCAGGTAATGGGAAATCTTGATGCTCAAAACATTGAGGATTTGGGGTGAAAATGTTAGGCGACAATAAAATGCATGTGTTCACCAGGTATAGTCTGAACTCGAATTTGATGGCTCTCTTTTTCCTGACAGGGTCTAAAGGAGCTTGCAGAAGATTTATCTCAAACTTTCAGCAAGCCAGCAACTGACACTACTTTGCAAGATGGAACTGATAATCTGGAAGACCAGCTAAGAACCCCACGTAATGATCAACCAAGAGCTCTTCTGAGGTTTGTATTCCATCATTTTCTAACTGCATTGCTATTCATCTGCCTGAGAAGATGGTGCTTGTGCATATAACAGTAAATTGGGAACAGTTTCTTTGTTGCTGACAGAAGAATCAGTTATTTATTATAATTTTTCTTATTTATCTGAAAGGGAAAATCATATTAATCATATTCTGTGCTCGTTAACCAGTGAGTAAAACTTTTAGGGTGGGTCTGTTTCCACAACCAAAATCTAAATTTACACGAGACCATTAACAAGTTGTTTGTAAGGTGAATAATTAATTGATTTTCATATCAAATTTGGACAATTCCAATGATATCTATTCAATTTGAATTCCAAGAATTTGATGTTTCAAATTGAATTGCACCCAAACTTTATTGCTGTTACCTCCCTCCCTCTGCTTTCTTCTTATAAGTTGTGATGGTGAGGGAGCTCCTTTAGTTTTTTTCTTTCTTGAAGCAATCCAAATCCAATCACTACTTTGATATTAGGCATTGTCTTACAAATATTTTGTTCTTCTGTGGCCTTCAATCTCCCATCTGGTCACCATCATTGCTGGAGTTCCAAGTGTTGGACCACTCTGTTTTGGACTTGGTGAGCTTTTGTATATGGAGTGCTAAAAGAAATGAACTTAATGGTAAGGCTTTAGGTTGGTGTTAAAAAAATAAGGGTGCTATTGCTGGTGGTGGCTGCAGAACTCTGGTGCTCCAAAAATTGCTTTGGTGTCAGTCATGCCAGTTAAATATTCGAATTCTTCTGGTGTTCCTGCT